ATACTAAGCTCGATATTATCTCGGCGTTTAATCGCCTACGGATTATAAAAGGAGATAAATAGCTAATAGCCTTCTAGACACGATACGGCCTATTTAAATACCTAGTTATACTCTTTAGACTAGCTAACGCCTTTAGTATATTCCAGTACTATATAAATAATATACTCCGCCTATACCTAAATATATTATATACTACGTATATTAATAATATCCTAATATATAGCGAAAGTTTTAAGAAATACTAATACTATATAAAACTAGTCCTTAAGGCCTTAGAAAATACAGGACTATAACTTAATATTAATAAATGCGAATTCTACTAGAGTAGTATTATTTACCTAGGGTATATAATATTAACCGACGGAATTAGTATAGACCCGAATAAAATTAATAATATTTATAACTAGGAAACCCTTTATAATATAAAAAACGTATAAGCCTTTATAGGATTTGCTAACTTCTACTAATAATTTATTAACAACTTTTCTAGCTTAGCTGCACCTTTTATTACTTTTATAAAGAAGGGCGTGTAATTTTAATTTAATAAACCCTATAAAAAAGCCTTTAAATATCTTAAAATAGCTTTTATAACTGCTCTAATTCTCCGCTACTTTAACCTAGATTTACTAATAACTATCGAAGCCGACTTATTTAATTATATAAATGCCGGAATTCTATTATAGACCGATAAGCGTAGAGTTCTAAGGCCTATAGCCTACTTCTCTAAACGGCTAAACCCTGCTAAATATAACTATAAAATTTATAATAAAAAACTTCTTGCGATTATCTAGTGCTTTAAATAATAGCGCCCGGAACTAGAAGATACTATACTTCTAATCTAGGTTTTTAGTAACTATAAAAACCTGCAGTACTTTACTACTATAAAATAGCTTAGCTACTAATAGGCCTGCTAGGTAGAATACCTATTTTATTTTAACTTTATAATTATATACTAACCCGGTAAGTTTAGAAAGAAGCCGGATATTCTAACTTGCTATATATAGGATATATCTGCGCAGGAAGAAGCCTAAGCCGCCCGAAATTAGACTCTATTATACCCTAAGTTATTTACTAAATTAAACTTTATAGAAACCGATTATATAATTTAAGAAATTATTAAGAAAGAATACCCTAATAATAAATTTATATAAAAAGTCCTAGAACTAATATAATCTAGAACCTAATATTTAAAAAAGATTACCCTAAGCAAATATAAAGTCTATAATAGTAAACTATTCTACTATAATTACCTTATAATTCCTAACTATAATAAATTAAAGATTAAGCTTTTCTAATATATATATAATTTACCTGTAGGCGGCTATCTAGGCTGCAGAAAAACCTTTAAAATTTTCTAGAGAAAATATTACTAGCCCTAGATATTTAAGATAATTTATTAATTTATAGCCTATTATTACACCTATTACTATATAAAGGCTTTAAGAGAAAAATATAACAGCTTTCTAAAGCTACTACCGGTTCTGCTATATTACTAGTAAGATATCTCCGTTAATTTTATTATAAATCTACCTAAATCTAAAGGCTATACTAATATTATAATTATAGTAGATCGCCTAAGTAAGTACTAATATATTATTCCTTATAAGATAATTATAGCTTAAGCTACTGCTAACCTATTCTACTAGCACGTTTAGGTATATTACAGCCTTCCTAATATATACGTCTCTAATTAAAAATTATAGTTTATTTCCGTATTTTAGAATAAACTATATAGATAACTATAAATTAAAGCCTAACTATTATTAGCCTTTTACTCTAAAATAGATAGCTAGACGGAAAAAGCTAATTCTATATTAGAATAAGTCCTCTATACTTATATAAACTACTAGCAAGATAACTAGGTAACCTAGCTGCTATTAGCTTAATTTAAAGTAAATAATATAAAATCTAAATTAACTATAGTAATACTATTTATCGCTGTTACAGAATAAAACCCTTAAATAGGTTTTAAACCCCCTATAGAAATACAGCGCCCTGCTTACTAAATACTGTAAGCCCGTAAGGCTAATTAAATAATTAATAAGATAACCAATATTAAATAGTTTATCCGTAAAGAGATAACTTAGGCACAGGCGATATAAAAAGAGTTTACTAACCGTCGACGCACCGGTGCACTATTCTACCGCGTTGGCAATAAAGTTTAGCTAGACGCCCGGAACATCTATATAAAACGAAAGTCTAAAAAGCTTAACTAGAAGAACCTCGGAAAGTTTCTAATTACGCAAGTGGTTTTACTATACGCCTATTAATTGGGCCTACCTAATATAATAAAGATCCACCCTGTCTTTTACGTCTCTCTCCTACGGCCTGCCGCCCCGTCCTCGGATTACCTTCCTGGCCAAGAAAACTCTCCTTCTAAACCTGTTGAGATTAATAGCAAACCGGAGTACTACGTTAACCGCATTAAAGACCTCCGCTTTAACCGACGCCGAAAGCAACACAAATACCTTGTTAAATAGACTGGCTATAATAAGTTATCCTGGGAGCCTGCCTTAGAACTTAAGGATACAACGGCTGCCGCCAATTATTACTGCCGGCACCCTAATATACCTGAACCACCTAATACATCCGTATAATATAACGTTAACGCCTAAGAGACTTAGGTTTAGGGGGGGGGTACTGTTACGGTAACTACCCGCAACACCTTACCCACCACAATTCGCCTATTACGTGGCTTCGTCACCTGATCTCGCACGGAGCTCGTGAGCTCGCGCCATACGCACGTCCCGCCGGTATATCTTCTTCGCCGGCGCTCTTCATTTCCTGTTCTTTACACAATGTCTTGATTCTCCACGTAGTATTGTACCTAGCACTTAATCAACGCTCCTTTTTGAGCCCTTGAACTCCTGCTTGTAGCGCTAGCGTGACATGCACGAGGTGGTGGAGGAGGCCTTTTGATCAAGGATTCGTATGAAGGAAGAGGGCTTCCTTCATCGTCTGATGATAGATTGGACATTGCGAACGTAGAGAATAGATAGAAAATGAAGATAGGAGAGAGAGGAGCTGTTTGATGTTGAAATTGATGAAATTGATGACCTTTTCTATGATAAATACACCTACACGACCGCGTCAAGGGCGCGGTTCCCCGCTGCCGATTGACAACGCGTTCTTGCATCTAACCGACCAAAACGCGCTGGCTGTAATGCGCGTACACGTAGCTATCGATTCATTGCGTCAGATTGTAATTGCGACAATTATTGGTGGAGTTGTTGATTTTTGTATGGGCCGCTACTGACGTGGCCATGTTGATTTTGTGATTTTCATAATATAGGCGAGCGAGCACGCGAGCACGTAACATATCGGCCGGTCGAATCGGCCTGCCCCGAACGGTTCCGGACGTCCATGGTATACCGGAACTTTCCCGTCCGAGTTCTGGATGTCGGGAACTCGAGATAGAAGTGGTGATGGATGATGGTGTTTCTACCGGGACAGGTGGACCTTTAGAGAATCGAAAGCGACGCGTAGAATACTTAGTCAGCTACACTGGTATGGTGGCAGCACCCTTGGCACCCCTCTTTTACCTCGATCGAGAGCCTTGCGTTATCTACTGGAATACATCCTGTCCCGTTGAATCTATACCAACTAGAAGCCTTTCAAATGCCCCGCATGTCCAGCACTTCTAATCATCGACATGTTCCAAGCACCCTTCTACCGCAGCCATCTGATTCCTGGCGCCCAAAATGGCTGCTTGAAAAAGCAAGTCTACCTGCGTAGAGGCTGGGCAAGGCTGAACACCTTTGCTAAATAGGGACATCAATTCCCTGGGCTATTTCTTGCCTTCATACTCCTTTCCCACAGTCTTCTCCGAATCTTTGCTTCTCTGTTCCTCCCGTGGGCGCGATCCTCCCGCTCGTTGGATTCTGCCGTTCTCACGATCCTCCCCACTATCACGGCTCTCTCGGTCGCCGTTTGTACAACTTTCCCACTCTGACGATCTTCTGCACAGCCGCGGCTGTGCACTGCGCCTATTCTTACGAACAACACCGTGGCGATGTTGTCTTCCTCTTAATACGAGCGTTTGCCGCGAGATTAACGAGCCTACCATCACGTCATACAAACTCAACACTCGAGCGTAGAATGATTGATTGCCCAATTGGATGACCAAAAATGGTATGGTATAAGTTCGCAGATACCACGCTTGTGGAGACCGGCTTGGCCTCCCTGGAGACTGTGAGCGGATACCATTCTGCTGCTATGGCAACCGCATCGCACGCTGATTGAGGGAGAAGCATTCGTGGCGTTCCAAAGTTGAGAATTAGTGCTGAGTCACGTGGTCAGAATTCACTACTTACTTCCGAAGAAGCCTACCAATAGACAAACTTGTACAAAGGGGAGCCCGGACAGAAATGTGCGGAAGTATCATCTATAGATACCCGAACTCGATCTCTGACTTCTAAATCAAGATAACGGTTTGAACTGACCCTTCCCCTCCTCCACAAACTGCTGCGATGTCTTCGCTTGCTGCATAAACTGCTCCAACATCTTTATTTTCTCCCACCCTAGGTTATACTTCCCTTCCAACCAAACTCGTCAATATTATGATGTACCGAAGAAGCCCGAAGTCGACGGAACACTATAGAAGAATATAGCGAGCCGGATGGTTGGGCCTAAGATTGTCGTCCCAGTCCCCGTTCCCGTCCGTCTCTGTGGCCACCTCAGCCGAGATTTCTACCTAAGACTTTTAGCTTTCCATTTGACTAGGCCTAAAGTAATTTTGGCGGACTTTTAAGGGATTCGGAGGGACGGGTGCGGATGGAGTCGAGCTTTGAGATGGTGACGCGCACGCCCCAGCGCAGGACCAGTGGGTGAAGTGACGGTTGGATGACCGTGTCTGAGCGCGTGTTGAGGTTGGTTGGAATTGCAGCTGGACTGATTTGACTTGCAAGTCTATATTACGAGCCTTGGGCAGAGACGCGAAGGATATAGAACATGACAAACAAGTCCACAGTCTAATACACCAAAATCCTTTAGTTGCACTCCTAAATCCCTCTCCGTGGCATGACGCCCTCGATCTGCCGTCTCTCTCGCTCAAGACATGCAACCAAGGGTCCCCTCGGAACATCCTCACGATCTAGGCACAGCTCCACCATCCTCAAACCTTTGCCATCCATCAGCCTCTCATCGTTCAAAGCCTCGTCAAGCTCTTCCCAAGTTCCCACCGACGTAGTGAAAGCATCGTCCTCAACTCCAAAGAAGCTGGGCGCGCGTAGATAACGCCAGCGCGCAATAGCATTGTACCGCTCGTGCAGTCCATGTATGCACCGCTCGATCGTATAGCCATTGTTGTTGATGAGGAACACGACTACATTGAGATCGTGGCGGATTATCGTGGATAGCTCTTGTGCTGTCATCTGGAAGCTGTCATCGCCAATGAACAGAATGGTGCGGCCGCTCTTGGTCTCCTGCTTGAGCACATTATCACGGCTGCGTTCTTGCTGCAGCTCTCGCTGTGCCAGTGCTGCACCTTGTGCCGCAGGAAGCATGTACTCGATTGAGAGCCAGGTGGCAGGTCCGAAGAGTCGAGTAAGAGGCGGAAGCAGCAGTTCCCGAATGCCGTGGCCTGCAGTGCCAGTTCCCTCAAGGATAATGTCGTCCGGTAGGAGGTATTCTGAGAAAATGCGCCAGAGCTTATCGTGGGTGATAGGTTCCCGTGGAGCAACATCTGAGAATGTCAGAAGGCCGCGGTGGTGGCCGAGAAGGTCGTCTTGGTGGACGGAGTGTTAACGTTGAATTTTCGAGAGATCAAGCTTCTGCAGGAGCTGAAGAACCGCGAGCCTAGTTGGAATGTCTCGCAAAATCTGGCGACCTATTCTGATCTCCGTGTCCATGAACATACACTGGCATCGGCTTTGGGTATAGTGGAATACTCGTAGGTGTTGCTAGAGCTCCAATGCGGCCCCAAACACATAATCAGATCCGCCTGATCGAAAAGTTCTTGAGGCGCTGGGTCATCAATTTTTCCTTTGTAGACGCCGTGGAAGTTTGACAAAGTCTCATCGAAAAGACCTTTGCCGTAAGGTGTCATCCGGGAGGGCCAATTTGTAGACTTGATAAGGGCCTGCACATCTTCAACGATACCAAGAGCTCTGCTTTCGCCATCTGCGAGGATGATGAGATGTTTACGCAGTGTAGATCATGTCCAGCACTTTTGTCAACGCTTTGTCCAAGGTTGGATTTGGCGACGCATTTGGTATGGTAATCGGTTATCGAAGCCCAGCTGCGTGGACAGGGGTTGACACTAGGTCCACCGGAATCTCAATGTACACAGATCGACTATGCAGCAGGCATTGCGTCAGAACATGGTCGATTTGCTCAGGGCTTGTCGAAGGGTCTCTCAAGCTGGTCTGCGCTGCGGTGACATGAGCGTGCATCTGACCGAAGCGGTGGTAGTCCCCATCGTTGAATGTGTGGTGAACAGAGAGCCTTGCATCCTGGGTGGCCCGACCTGGGGTAACCGACGATATGAATAACAGGCGCACGCTCAGCATACGCTCCCGCAATGGCGTTGATCGCAGAGAGCTCACCAACCCCAAACGTGGTAATCAAAGCCCCTATGCCTTTGATACGCGCAAAGCCGTCCGCAGCATACCCAGCATTCAGCTCATTAACATTGCCCACCCAGCACAGCCCAGCTGGCGCAACGTAGTCGAGTAAATCGAGGTTGTAGTCGCCCGGATCCCCATGGACGGAGCCAACGCCCAGCTGGCGAAGGCGTGTAAAGAGGTATTCGGCAAGGAGAACGGTCGCCATCGTGTCGGTCGCAGGGACCAAAATTGTAGACCTAAGAACAAGGAATTAAGGAATTGAAATTCGTAGAAGAGAGAAGTAGATGGCTTTTAAGGCTGGAGTCTTCGGCATGCCATGCAGTTATGCCATGGACTTATACCCTCAAGGTAATACGGAAAGCTCAAGCCAAACTAGAAAAAGTATTCTCGGCGTCGGTGTGAACAGTCTGATACTGGTGGCGCTAGTCGTGGGATCACTCCGGCTGCCCTAAGATCACTCCGGTTGCCCTAATGGGCCGACAACGCCCCTTCGAGGGAGAGAGCTAGATCCAGGCAAGAATCCGAATATTGCATAGCGAGTCTTTGCAGGTAGCGCCGCTCCAGGTCAGTATCGTAGAAGACATCGAAGCATGGTAGGTCAATGGTGGCTCGAGAGACAGCAGTGAAGAACAGTCTCATGGCCTCCCATCGTGCATTGTTCTCGCAGAATGTAGCACAGAAATCTTTCAACGTGGAATCAATACCCGTGGTCAGCGAGCTACAGGAGTGAAGGAACAGCTTTTTTTTACAAAGCTACGATATTTTCATCCCTAGGGCCTAGTTTTTTGACTATGCACTGAGCGGTTTGAGCGCATTGCATAGTAAATGAGTTGGTAAGAGGGAGGTTCACTCCTTTGGCAGTCCATGCTTCGACCAGCAAGACCCACGACGAGGCTTTGGCGGAAAGACGAGCTTGTCTGATCAGCGCTGCGCCATAAGCAATCTTCTCGTCGTTTACCACGCTTAGACGGAACTTGTGCCGGGTTTTCTCCCTGTCCTTGTCCTGGCGATGGCCATCGACGTCGCTGCTTGGGCTGTTGCCAGATGAGAGGTGGTCGAAAAAGGTGGTATGGCTGGACGAGCCGAGGTAGCCTGGACTGGGATATTGACGAGGTCTCTTCAGGAGCACGCCGAGAGATACAGGTGTGCTCGGACTATCAAAGTTGCGTTGTTGTGGTGGCTCACTGACATTGTTGGATATACTCCTCTTTTTGAATGGTCATGACCGGTATGTGCAAACAGCTGTCGTGTTTCCGTCTCTGCATCGTAAACAATGCGGCTGCACATGATCACAAGCAAGCTTCCGAGATCTACACGGATCACAAGCTGGTAGTTTTGGCGGCATTCTTTGGGCATGAGACATAGGACGTTGTTGGTGTTCTCGATAGAATACGGACAACATTAGGTGCCGGCCCCGCTCCGAAGGATGACGCACGACCTCGGAGTCTGTACTCCGCATCTCCAGGCGAAGGTCTCCAACGAGTAAAATGGCACGTGAATGAGTGTCAGAAGTCGTGGTCCCGTCTTTCTGTTGCGCTCTCCAAGGTAACATTCCTAGTGCCTTTGACTCTGGCAATCATCGAGCCTTCAGACCCATCACCGAGCCTTGAGTCCCCAAAGCGGCGTTTTTGATAGCGGTACGAGTTGAGAGATCCCAAAGTTGAGGAAAGACTTCTTTGCCAGACAAGCCAGAAAGTGTGTCCTCAAAGTCCATGGATGGGGCAGACTCGCCGTGGAAAATGTCAGGTCCTTTCCGTTCGCTTTCAGGCCCGCCGCCGACGATTGAGTTGCGTCGATCACTTTGTTTCCTATATCTTCAAACAGTGGTCTCTTAAGTACTTCAACGAAGCCAGCGTATGCCACGGTACATATGAGACCGTGCCAGGAGCACAGAGATACAAGGGCCACTGCATCCGTGATTTCAAATAGTACGCTTGCAGAGAACCTTTCGAGGCAACAGACGTTGTGCATGCGACATCATTATTGCGTGGATTGCCAAAGCAATCTAGACTATAAAGAGATTGGAGATAACAAAGTCCGAAATAGACGCCGGCTGGCCTAACCCTAACACCAGAGAATACCGATCCAGCCTTCAGAAACCGCCCTTTGCCTGCAGCTTCTTCGCCATGCCAACAGCGCCCTTGACCCAGCTCACAGGCGGCGCTGACGGCTTCGTCGCTCCTTCTGCCTCATGCCCTTGATCATCTCGCCACACTCCGTCTTCCGGACTTCCTCTCCCATATGTTAGGGTATTCTGATTCCGCTCGATCCCCTCACGCCACTTCCTGCATGTTGCTTCCGAGTCAATCATGACATTGATCTCCTGTGAGTGATACCAACTCTGCGTGTCTTGGTTGCCGGAGCCTTGAATGCCGACGCGACTGTCGGCAATGAGGAGTTTGACGTGGCAAGCTCGCTGACTGAATTGGTGGTGTATTGGTTTCGACTGGTCTTTGGCGGTATACCAGTGGACGTGCAACAGAGTGCGCTCTTGCAAGGACAGTTCCTTGTACAGCTTTGCGGCGAAGGCTTCATTTATGCCACCTTGACCTGGCATCATCTCGCCGGCGTCGTTGTAACCGAGGCAGACGTAGTATGTGATGTCAACGCCACGTCTGACTGCCGCAGCGAGAGCGGGAAGAAGATGGTGGGAATTGAGATTGGGTGTTTGGATGAAGATTGACTGCTTGGCGTTGCGGATGCACGAGAGGAATGCTTCGTTCTGTGGAACAAAGGCATCGGCGTTGTTTGGTGAGCCGTGAGGTCGCCGTGGGACTAGTGCCATTGGTATGTCTTCTTTCGGATGAGCAATGTAAGGGGTGAACTCGGTTCCAGGCTCTGGTTCTGGGCCGGTAGGTTCAGCGTTGCTCTTGCTCGTGTCATTTAGATGTCTGTTGATGGCCGAGACACGACTTTCACCGGGCCTAGGAGAGTACATGGCCTGTACTCGAGCGATCTCTGCTGCTATGGTGTCATCGTAATGGGGGTCGCCAGGATTGTGCGGCGCCAGATGCTTCTTCGCTTCGTTGCCGTCCTGTACGATTGCTTGTTGCTCACGTGCATCAGCCTGGTCGGGGTGCACATGTTGATCATTCGAGGCAAACAGTCTCTGGAAGGAAGGCTCATTCCATGTACTGAATCCGCCCAAGGCTGCTGGGGAATTGTGGGTTGGCAAGGGTGGATCCAGTGCATCGTGCCAGGTGACTAGGAAGGAGTCGTAGAGCGAATCAACAACTGGTCCCTCCAAATGCGTCATCATCTCCACGTTGGCATTATTCTCCATATTGTTGCTCTCGACGATGCCGATTTCTCTGTCGACCACCATGAATTTTGCGTGAAGAGTGCCGAGAAGAGGCACATGTAGACTGGAGACTTCGAGGTCCAGGTTCGGAATCTCATCTGGGTGCGGAAGATTTATCTTCTCTCCAGAATAGACCTCTACCGGGACCTTCTGGTGGTTGTTGACGAATTGCTTTACGCCAGCCTTGTCGAAAATGATCTTCACGACAACTCGGTCGCCTCTGACCCCTGCTCTTCGAGACAACTCTTTGAGTGCATCGCTAATGAGGTCTACGGCATCCGATGGCGACCAAGAACATGACGCGAAAAGAACCTCTCTCCTCGCTCTCACGATGACATTTGACATGTGTCGGACCAAGTCGACTAGGGGTGCGATGACGCTCAGCGGTATGGAGCCATGCGTGCCAATGAGTGCTGGCGACACCACGCCGCTCAACGGATCAGCATCCAGGCAGCATAGAACGTCATGGTACACACGAAGAAACAGCTCCCCAGGTTGTGTCGGTCCCCATCTCCCACAACTGAGGGCTTGCTTAAGGTCTTGGGCCGATGCGGGGCTCAGTTCGTGGTCGGCCTCGCTGGATGGCTGCCCAGTCTTCTCCTTCTTGCCAAACAATTTGATTGAGGCTTCCTCTGGACTCAGCGAGGGGTTTTGCGCAAGCAACGAACTCACTGTCTCGTCGGCTTGGCAGTGCTTCACCACTGTCGGCGTGATCTGGGGCTTCATCGTTGGTGGTGAAAGCTGGTAGAGTATAGTGTGGATAATAATTGTTTTCGGCGATGTCCAAAAGGAAGGAGACAGATTTGCATTGAGGGCATGTGGTGAGGAAACAGGGCGGTACATACAATGTGGATTTCAGCTACCTTTGTGTGGCAGCTCTGCCTGATGTCATCGCGGGGTGCCCGCAAGCAAGGAAATTGGCGGCGTGTTCAAGCTTGGCCGTAGCAGGCGATTCCGACGGATAGCATACCTTGGATTTCCATTTGAAGCTGCTCAAGCTCGCGTACGTGAACAATGCAGATCCAAGCATGGCGATAAATATAGCCATGCCCAGCGAATGCTGCATCTCTTGGCCTCTGGGCAGGAAAGCTTGGCCACTCAAGACCCAACTCCCCCACCCATCTTCCTCGGGGCTGCAGCTCGACATCGACAAGAACAAAAGTAAGGAGATTCTCGACGCAAAGACGCCTCGAGACTTCCAGCTGTTACACAGTCAGTAAAGAGAAAGTTTAAATATTTCCGAGCCATGGTGTGAAAGGTAATGCGTCATAAAGCGTGAGTTTCTGAACAGGTTTAGTGTTAGTTTTCCAAGCTTCGGCTAATTTCTTAGCCTCTGGGCGGGAAAGCTTAGTTTTGCATGGCCCCCCTGCCCCTACCTTTATGCCTCCTACCGTCTCCGCCAGCCAGCATTGTTGGCAGGATCCCCGGGGTCCTCAAGGTCATCGCCTGGTTTCGACTCATCATGCATCAGTTTATTGCAAAAGTAACTAATAGGCCGTGTAGCAGGAAGAAATTTGGGTGCAGTGCCCTATCGCCACCTCCCAACCTTCATCATGCCCGGGACCGCGAATCGGAAACCTTTCAATCTATTTCTACCAGCCTTGGAGAGCATCTATCCATCGCCCGAAACATCTTCTCGCTGAAGCGGAAGACAACTAGGTTACCCCGCCTCACTTAACACGCCCAATAGTCTTCAACGGCGTACTATAACGCCTGAGAAATCTTATGCTAGCCCTTTAGGTTTAACTAATTCGTCGCATTTAAAGGCAGTCGCACTTGTATCGCACTAATCCACTTATTACGCCTCCTGCCTTTTAGGCCTCTGTTAATAATCTCGATAATACTGTGGTGATGTAGGTTGGGATAGTCACAGGAGGGAGTATTATGCGTCACCGAGGAGGAAGAGGATGGGGAAAGGTGAAGTTCAATCGTATTATTCTAGGCAGAGGCCGTGGCCCGATGCGCTGCCAAAGGCAGGCTGAAAACAAGAATCTCGAGAGGAAGAAGGTGGTGTCCTTGAGGAGCGAGCTGCCATTGTTGAGAAGGGGGCCCAGTTGCCTGTCACGTGCCACCCGCATACCAGCACCGGTCTACCTCACCACATACCTCCCCACCCAGGAGTCGACCCATGACGACATTCTTTTGCGCTGAGGTAGACCGCTAGCCATAGAAGAAGTATCTAGAGTAAGAAGCAGGAATATAGAAGTAGGAAATAGAAAGAGAACAAGCCGCCTATTGCAGTAGGCCGGAAGTACACAGGTCTATGCCTCCCCACCTTGCAACCTGCCATTCGCAGCAATTTGTGCAGCACCGAAGCCAAAGGGAGGCCAGAAGGAGGGGAGATGGACCGGAGAGGCTGTCGTCCTTCTGCCACGCAGCAAGCTCGGGTTTCCGGATCAGCCTAGTCAGCAGCGCATTAATATTCAGCTGGAAACCAGTGCCTCGGACAATTGCGCCGTTGTGGAAGAAATGGTATGCCCCTAGTTCGTTATATGGCACAGGCGGGCGTGCCTCCTTTCGGAACCAGACATGCTGCGGACCAATACAAAGAAAACTAAAGGTTTCGCGGTTCTTATAGATGTAGTGCAGCCGGTTAAATAGATAGATATAGGTAAGATTAGCCGTTTTTAGGCCTAGATAGGATCCTATAGATCGGGTATAGTAATAGTAAACTAGCGAGCAAGTTTTATCGGCTCTAGTATTTTAATACTAGCTTATAAGTACCTTAAGGCGGTTAAAGTTACCTATTTTTTGCTTAGATTTTAGTTTTTCTTTTAGCGTAAGTGTGAGGTGACCGGAGCACCTACAGTATATAGCCCCAGGCCATGCACCACGACTCCTTAAGGATTCGTTTCCTAATATACGAATACTACCCATTCTTGTCACGGTCTCGGGCGGCAGGATTGCCCTAGCTAGCTCGGGCAAGTAGGTAGAAGTAATAACTGAATTCACTACGTGTTCTGAAATGCACGGCAGGCAGGCGGGTTAAATAACAAGACGTAGCTCAAGGAGCTACAAGGAGGCAGGGCGGCGGTCGGCAGGTATACTCCTGCCAAGGCTCGCATAGGCCCTTGCAACAAGGCCTCTCGCCGGGTCCTAACATCACGTGATACGCTGTGCAGCAAGCTTCACCGTTTAAGCCGTGACAATTCTATTATCGAGCTCCCTGCTGTGCACTCTCCTCTTACAGTAAGCTAAATAGTAGTATTACAGGTATAGTTATCTATAGTAGCCTTTAACGCAACTAGGAACTTAGTAAGGTTTTTAGTAACTCCCTTATTTTTATCTAGGGCTAGCTTATTATAGTTAACGCTAGCTAAAAATCCTTATATAGTTTTTATAGAAGGAAGAGTTCTATAGAAAGCAGGGTATAGAAATAGTAAAGTAGATAAATCTAGTATAAAAAAGGGTATACTAATATTTATAAAGAAGAATAGTGTTATAACCCGTAATATAAACCACCCGAGCGCAGAGGCACTTATAGAGATAAGTAAGTAGATAAGACTAATTACACAGGACTAAGTTACAGAACCCTAGGGGTTATGTGTAGGACGCATAGGGATCTTAGATTCCCCCACGGACTGCTGGTGGATAGGAATAATCTAAGGATAGGATATTACGAGACAGAGAGGTTACGTGTCGGCTTGAGAGGCTCGCAGCGAGCAGGAGCGAGCTGGCTCGCTGAGCTTGCAGAAGAGCGGGAAGAGGACGGACTCACCCGGCTCGCGGACGAGCACGATAAGTATATAGGTTTCTTAGAACGGGACTTTTATATATAAGGACGCTCCTTTACATAAATAGAAACCTTATAGGCACCGCAAGCCCGACAAGCAGCCTGTACGAGGCGGTGCTACGAACCTGCTCCTACATTGTAGTGAGCAGAGCAGATGCTTGAGGCACGATGGAGCTGGTGATGGCGTTGTGGCCGTTCGAAGGCCCTCCACCGGACAACGACAACAACGGACCGCATCACCAGAACAGAGGAACAACCATCAAAATGGGTATGAAAACCATCCGACGTATGTCTACTTGTGTAGGAAGCAAGCCGAACGTGGAGCCGATGCCTAGGCGTACGATAGGACACCTCTGGGGTGGCGATGCAGAGTTTTCACCCTCCCCTCTATCGAAGCTCTCGTTAACTGATGGTGTCTACAGTGCCTACAGCGTCACCAAAGTCATTGGCGGTCAATTGGAGGACCTCAAACAGCGTGGTGCTCGCAGCCTTTGCCTAGGAGACAGCATTCTCATGGCGGTCAAGTGGAGGACCTTAAACAGCGTGGTGCTCGCAGCCATCGACAATGCCTGTAGGCGCCCATCGGCACGCGAGGAAGCCCAAAGCTCCTGAAGGGAGATGGTCACAGCCAGCATGGTGGGGGTAATGGAGCCGTCCGCCGGACAGGCAGAGGGAGGAAGGACGACAGACCGGATGATTTCCAAGCAGATGCAATCCCGATGACGCGCTGCGAGGCGACGACGCCTGACCGACCCGGCTACAACACGACACGCAGGGTGGACACGAGTGCTGGGGCAGCAGCTGGATATACTTGAGGACGGGCATAGCAGGCAGATGGGAGGAGGAAGATGGATGCTCCATCTTGGTTAGTGGGAGGGAAACGTCGAAGTATGCTGCCTGGCTAGGGGTATATGGATAACAACTCCTGCAAGACACGGTCGGCCTTGTGAAGGGGAGACTCTACAAGGTATCGCGAAGCAGCGTCAGCTGTGAGGCGAGGTGTGCAATGGCAGCGACAGCAGACACTGTCTGTACAGCCCGAGAGGACGGATGCGCGTGTTGGTCCATGAACAGGCAAGGAGAGGAGGATGATATGGGCTTAAGGAGCAAACTGGTGCAGGGGCGTAGGAGGAGGGCTTTGTCCACCCGAGTCCTCGAGGCCGGGTTAGGAGGTGAGCTTAGGCAAGAGTCCTCCAGCTAGGCTGGAAAGCGTGTGAGAGGGGTCGCGCCCTCTTGTTGTAGTGTAGACAGCATGCAATACAATCTGTACCCGCACGCGCGAAGCAGGCATGGACCTAGCCACGGAGGAAGGGCTAGAGATATGGGCAAGAGGAACATTGTGGTCTACAATTGACCTTATGTTCACAACAGGGTGGCTAACAGAACGAATAATTTCCTCCACGGTACGAGAGGAATGGAACTGCGACTCTGATCACCGGCCTATATACACGGAGTTCGATGTCTCACCACTAAAGGCAGCCGAACCCCCGCAGCGTAAGCTGTGGAAGGATGTAGCATGGAAAGAAGTACGAGAGAACCTAGCAATACGGCTAGACGAGCTAGAAACTCGGAACGACCCGCAGGAGACGGAGGAAGATCTTAATATGTTTGCACACCGCCTATATAAGTGCATACAAGCCACAATAGACAAAACCATACCACTCGCAAAGCTATTGAAATAAGCATCACCTGCGTGGTCAACAGAGTGCACCGAGGAAGTGCGGGAGACGAGGCGGGCCTATAGGACCTAGCGCTCGTTAAGAACAGTAGAGGACTGGATTTTGTACAGAGTACAGTGCAATAGAAAGAAGAGGGCTATACGCAAAAAGAGTATAAAAGCATGGCGCCGCGCAGTAGATAAGATCACGTCGGATCCGAAAGGCGTATAGAAGCTAGCCAAATAGGGCAGAACTGTTGGAAAGGAACCACGGCCACCGCCTTAATTCCCCCCTTTTTTACGGCCTAACAATGCAACGCTCTATACAGACAACGAGACCAAGGCCCAAATACTTGCGGAATAGTTCTTCCTACCCCCTGTGGAGGCAGACCTCTCCGATATTAAAGGATACTAATACCTAGAGCCGTACAAGTCCTTACAAGACGTTACAGTGGAAGACGTCCTCTCCGCGCTAATAGGAATAGCCCCGGACAAGGCCCCGGGTATTACAAAGATAACTAACAGAATCCTTAAGAAATGCGAAACGCAGCTAGCACTAACGCTGGCCAGGTTTTTCACCAGGTGCGTGTGTATAGGGTACTACCCACGGCCGTATAAAGAATTAATTACTGTAGTACTATATAAGCCTTAGAAAGCGTCCTATAACACAGCAAAGTTATACAGGCTAATTGCGCTGCTGGAAATAGTAGGTAAGCTGCTTAAACGCATTATAGCACGAAAACTATCTAAGATAGTAAAGGAGAAAGGCATACTCCTACTAAGCTAAATAGGCGTAAGGCCCGAATAATCTACGCAGATAGCACTAGAACTTTTTATAGAGCAAATATAAACTATATAGAAGGGTAATTTTTACCTTATTACCTTTTTTTTTAGCCTAGATATTTTAGGGGCCTTTAATAGAGTATTTTATAAGAGAATAATATATAACCTATAGGTTTAATATATACCGGAATAAATAGTCTAATTTATAGAATTATTCCTATAGAACCGAACTATAAAACTTTCTATTAGAAGATATATTACTAAAACTATTCTAGTTAACATAGGTATACTATAAGGATTTTTACTTTTACTAATCCTTTTTTTATTCTTTATAAGTATACTCCTGCCGGCACTATAAAAAGGCAATATAACAGCCTATAGGTATATAAATAATACTAATATTCTTATATTTAGTAGAAGTATAGAAGAAAACTACAGGGTAATTAAAAGTGCGCATATATAGTATATAGATATAACGGGTCGTCTCTTCTATACCTTCTAAGTATTTTATACTAAAGCAGGGTATAGGTAAGTTATTATCGGGGTGTAATAGTTTTTAAAAGGTAAGGCAATAATTAATTAAGGTCTAAGACGGGGTTATTACTTCTAATAGGTAATATTAAAGTCTTAAGTTAAATATAAGGTTTCTATCTATATAAAAAAGCGTCCCTTTATATAAAAGCTCCGTCCTAAAAAACCTTTTACTTATATAGCTCGCAGCCTTAAGCTCCTTAAGCTACTCTTCTAGCTTACGGCCTTAAGCCTTTTAAGCGCTCGCCTAGCTCGCTTCCTTAAGCCTTTTAAGCTATTATATAACCCTGTTTTTATAATATTTTATTCTTAGATTATTCCTATTTACTAGTAGTTTATAGGAGAATCTAGGATCCCTATACATCCTATATATAACCCTTTTAGTCCCGTAACCTAGTTCTGCGTAATTAGTTTTATCTACTTACTTATTTTTATAAGTGCCTCTGTGCTCGGGTTGTTTATATTATAGGTTATAACACTCGCTCCCCCTTCTAAGGCTTTCGGCCCGAAAGTATTTCCGTGGTGGGGTTTTAGATAAGTAGCTGGCGATGCCCTATCTGCTAGGCTGTTATTATACCTCTCTATTTCTTCTTTTATAATATCTAACGCCTTAAAAGCTAAGAAATAAAAAAGCTATCTTATACTTGCTAATTATATTAACGCGTCTAGTTTAAAAGTTATACCTTGTTCCTAGTATAAATCTCGGGGTTTATTATATATAGTTTCTATATCTAACTTAGATTATTATACCGCTTATATTTAGGCGCAATAATTAAACTGTAATATTGCTGGCATTTTAGCAGCTGCCTATAAGCTATTGCAATCTACTATTATCTGCAACTATATCCTAGCTAACCTTTCTAGGGCGGAAACTAGCCTATAAAGAGGATAAACTTTATTATAAAAAGTTAGAAACCTGCACAACTCTAAAAGCGGCTATAGTAAAGCTAGATTACCTGGATTCTTAAAAAAAGTTACTGCGCAAGCGTAGTAAAAAGATAATGCGTTATAGTTTTAAAACTCTAGAAGAGCTTAAGAAAAATAATTAGAAAGAGGCTAAGTAGAAAGAATAAGAGCGTGCTAAGCAGGAAGGCTTGCCTTCTACCTTAGGAACTATTAGGTATTCTTCTTTCTTTCTAGGTATACCGGGTACTGCTAGCTGTCTATTCTATTACTATATATTCTAATTATATAGTAGTGGTATTCCTTCTCTAGGTTCCTTTAATCTTTCCTAGCTAGATAGTATACTATTGCCGTTTTTCTAGGCTGTTCCGAATTCTAGCGGTAAAACTACTGCAGGAGTTCCTAATAGTTTGCTAAACTCTTAACCGGTTCCTATATATTTTTAGAGGTGCTGTATCCTTTCCACTTAATTAGGTACTTCTTTTACTAACCGTGCTATTAGGAATCTAGGATTTATTCGACCTTATATTTATTATTATTATCGACCTCTATATTATTTTCTAGCTTAGTATTTAGTAGTGCGGGTTCTAGTAGCAATATATAGAAAACCGGGTGTATTTTTATTCTATTAGGTAGCCTAAGCTTATAGTTTACTAGGCTAATAATATTCTGTATTTTAAATAGTCTAATCTTAATATAGTCTAACTTTATACTTAGTTATTTTATTTTAATATTTTTATAGAGTAGGTAGACTTTATCCCCCCCTTTAAAGGTTAGTGCAATACTCCAGTATTAATTATAATATCTTGCTAACCTTAGTATTAGGAATTAGATATCTATTAAAAGCTGTCTTTATAGCTCCTTAATATTTTTAACTAATAGCAGTGCCCTTTAGGCTTTTATACTGTTAAGTTAGGGTTTTTAATACGCCTCTAGATTAAAACTATAGTTTATAAAAAAGGGCGATACCTTTATTATTTCTGTAGATGCGCTATTATAGGCGAACTGGGCTATTAGTAGTAGTAATACCTAATTATCCTGCCTATAGTTAATATAGTATTATAGGTACTGCTCTAAAGTCTAATTAAGCCTTTCCGTTTACCCGTCCGTCTAAGGGTAAAACGCTATAGAAAGCTTATACTTTATCCCTAGTTATATAGTAAGGGTCTACTAGAATTTTAATATAAAAAGCTTATTTTAGTCTAAAATTATCTTCTAGGGTAGCCTGTAATTGCTAATAATATACTTTAAAAAAGCGTAGGCTAAATCCTCTGCTATTAATACTTTTTAGTAAGGGATAAAGTATATATATTTAGTTAGTTAGTCCGTAACTACTAATATTATATTATACTTTATACCTGTTATAGGTTTAATAGACTATAGTAGCTTAACTATAAAGTTCTATATAATAGATTTCTATACTTTTTCCGGTATAGAGGGACTTTTTATTAGTCTATATAGTGCGTGTTATACCGATTTATTCTTTATACACTTGCAGTTATATACAATTTTCTCCGTTAATTTCCGGAGTCTAGGGAAGTAGAATATTCTTGCAATTCTTTCCTGTGTTTTTTCCACTCCCTAGTGCCTATACACTAGTATACTATAGAATTCCTTAATAAGCTCTTTTTATAAGGTCTTAGGTATAAATATCTTATTCTATAAGGTAATAATACCGCCCTGGATTTCTCTATACTTTTAGTTTATAGGTTCTAGGCGCAAGCTTTGCCAGTTATAACCCGCTAAATCCCGGCTTTTTTAATCTACCTTCTATACTGCCTTAATTTATTTATACTACTTATTATTCTTAGACCTATAAATAACTGCTGCTTATATATAGTTAAATTTAAGGGTTCCCGGACTAGTTTCCTTAAGTATAGGTTGCCTAGTTTTCTTAGCTCCTTCTATATAGTCCGGCCTTCTGCTAAGTATATCTATATAAGTATTTTTAGATCCCTTTTAGTATATAATCTTAAAATTAAAAGTTTCTAGCTTTTCTAACCATCTTTTCTATCTCCTATTTAACTCCT